TGTTGCCCATGCTCGGTGCGACTTGTGGCCCTTTCTTGCGGGCCGGAGTGACCTCGCTGACCCGCCCGCTAGCAAGCAGCCCAAACACCGCGGCTAAGTTGGTGATGGCCCACGTCAACAGGAGGCCTGCTGGCGGGGCGCTGGCACGGCGAGGCAACCATTGGCTAGTTTTGTCCACGTTGATCGCGTCAACCAATGTGCGTGCCGTTTCGATCGAAAGCTGGGCGACAGGTTTACCCGCAGACGACTCCCAGGCTTCCCGCCGCGACTGTCGAAGTTGCTCTCGCGCCCGCCGGTTCGAGTGCGGGGTGCCCGGCCCTGCGCGCAAACACCTGTGAATAACATTATCTGTCAGCGCCACGAGTGCGCCGTCCGGGCCCAGCGGGCCCCCTGAATCCTCGCCCCGCAGCGCCAACTCCCATTGGCGGCGCGGGCGCAGGAGGCGCGCGAGGACATTCTCGGCGCTCCCGCTGCCCTCCAGGGTGAGCCGGCGGGGCGCCTCTAGCTGCCGGGGGAGCGGGGGCGTCGTGTCCACTGAGCCGTCGCCGCCGAAGTAGTCGCGCAACTGATGTCCCGGGGAAGCGTGCCATGCAGGTGGCCGCGGCGGCGCGCGCGCCACCAGCCCGCCATAGTGCCCGCATAGTGTGTAGAGCACCGCGCGCCACCGCGCGACCTTGTCTACGATGCGCTGCCGCGCCCCGCGTTTTCTCCCAGTCACTGCCCAAGTGCGCAGCTGCTGATGGTGAATGGCACGCCCCGCCCAGCCAGCCACGAAGTGAAGAGATAGGGGAACCAGAGATAACGCGGCATTCCAGTCACCATCGGCACCCCGCCTGGCCCGACCAGCCATGTGACGCGGCGGCGACATGACGGGCGACTCACAAACCACATCCAGCCTTGCGTGATCACTGCGCACGCGCCCGTCGCCGACGCGAACCACCTGAACGGTCAGTCGGAGACTGGTGCTTGCAGCAACCACATCTATCACCGAACCAGAACGGTGAATCATCTGCCCCGGGGTGTTCCTGATAGGACATGCCATGCCGCTTCCCCCTCCAGGGCACCGGGCGCGCGCCGGGCCAACGCCGCAGTATCATATTTGCCGTTTGTACCCCCGAGCTTGGCAACGTGCAACTTATAGTCGCCCGCGACCGCGACTCCCCAACCAGCGTCTTCCGTTCGCGCTGTGACCTCATGCTCTCGCCGCAGCTGCTCCCAGAATGCTTCCCGCGCTGCAGGGGGGTGCCGCGCGTGGTGGCCGTGCGCCCCCATGGCCAAGAGACCCTGCTTGTTGTGGTTTGGCCCGCCACCCCGCGCGCGGGGTAGCGGCGCGTCGCGCGAAACAGAAGGGGAAGGGGGCGGGGGGGGGGGGAGAGGAGGGAAGGGCAAAAGGAAGGGGAGGAGGAGAGGGAGGGGGGGGGAGGAAAAGGAGGGGAGGGACTAAAGGAGGGGGGGGAGGATGGGGGGGAGGGGAGAGGGCGAGCAGGGGGAGGGATGGGGAGGAGAAGAAGGAGGACGGGAAAGGGGGAGGAGAGGGGGGAGCGGGCCAGGAGGGGGGGAGGGACAGGGGGAGGGAAAGATCGGGGGACAAGCAGGAGGGCAGCCGAGCCAATCGGGGCGGCGGGTAGACACGAGTAGGCGGACAAGGCCATCCAGATAGCCCTCGGATCGCCCACGCCAGGGACTTGCACCGCCAGCTGCGCAACGTCGTCACGAATGAGCACCGCCACAGTATTTGGCATAGCCGACCTTTCCCGAATATACGCATACCCAACCATGTCAGGCCATATCGCTCCGGGGCCCATGCAGGGTTCAGAGAGGACTGCAAGCAGCACCCGGCCTCCTGGAATGCGCGAGTAACGGCGTGGATGCGGTAGTGGCACGACCTCACACCACCTTCCATTCCGAAAGCCCCCTGGACGCTGCAGCACGACAGAGTGACCTTTTCATGCTTGTGCCTGGCAACCATTCGACGTCAGCTGGACGTAGACCTCCCTCCCGCGGGCCACGGGCCATAGTTGGGCGGCAGACCCTTAACGCTGGCCGCCAAGCGGTGTGAAACCTGCTCAAGAACCGTACTGAGCAGCACATCGAACTCACGGTGGGCATGCGACTCCTGGGGGAAGTCCGTGACGCCGAAGGCTGGCTTCGCGGTTAGGAACGCTTGGATATCACGACGGGCGCGCAGCGCTGCCCAACGAGGGCCCGCCCTGGCACTCGGGAGAGCGCGGCCAACCAGGCCAAATAGCTCTTCGCTTGCAGATTCCACCGCGGCCCGCGAAGTCCACTCAAACACCGCACTGGGTGACGGTTCCGCCGCGCCAGACTGCGGTTGCCGCGCCTGTCGGGGGGCCCCAATGCCCGCGCCCTCAGCGCTGCCTCCGCCGTGTCCAGCCGGCAGCCCCCTCGGGGGGCCCCAATGCCCTCGCCCGAGGGGGGCGGCGCGCGGACGGGGGGGCCCAGTTCCCGCGCCCGCCGCGCTGCCTCCGTCGCCTCCAGCCGGCGTCGGCGCGCGGGGGGCCCCAGTGCCCTCGCCCGCGCACCTCCCTGAGTCAAATACCTGCAGCCCTAGGACCAGCCTCCCCACTTGGCTTCGCCATGGGGGCGCCGCGCCGCGCCGCGGAGAACGCGACCTTTGGGGGCGGCCCATAGCAAGCGCTCGTCCGAGCCCAGCGGCGGTGGTTCAGCTCCCAAGGGCCGACCGACGAGCCAGAAACGCGAAACGGCAGGCCCGAACGACCCGGAGGCCCCGAACGCACCCAAACGAGCGAAACCAGGAGCCCAAACCAAAGACCCAGAACCCAGAAGACCGGGAGACCGGAACCCAGACGCGGGACTGGGGCCCAGGCCAGGAGACGCACAGGACCCAGGACCGAAGGCGAAACGAGCAAGAGCCAGGGGCCAGGACAGGAGAGGAGGGCCACGGCGGGGCCAGAGCACGAACCACCACCTAAGTTGCTCCTGGCGCGGGGGCGGGACCGCCGGGGGTGCCCAGCACCGCGGCTGGGGGCCTGGCGTCCGAGCCGCGCCGGCGAGTGCAGGTAGCCGCGGGCAGTGCCGGCGAGCTGCGAGGACCGGGGAACAATCACTACCCCGCCACCCACAGGCACCCCCGAGACCCCACACACAGCGGGAACGCCAGAGCACCCACCCCCAACCCCCACACGCCCCAGCAGGCCCCCAGGGAGTCCAACCAGCACGGACGACAGAAAGATTACGGAGCCCGAATTCTTCCAGACCGACCTTGCCAGGAGGCCCTCCCTGGGCGCTTCCCAGGGTGGCCGTATAGAGTGGCGGGGTAAACTTGCGTGCCATCGATCTTGGTCTGAAAATTACGGAGGACGGCCAGGGCCAGTAAAATCCGTATCGCTCGACCTTGGTCTAAAAATTACGGAGGAGGAAGACGACGAGAGGAACACATGAGCCGGTAAGATCGATCGCACAAGTCTTCGCCGCACGCGCGGCCACCACGATACTGTACTCTGGGCCCCGCACGGGCTCGTTATAGCTCTCACTGGCGCACGTTCTAGAAATTGCGCCCCACAGCAGCCGGTAATATCCACATCGCGTGTCTTCGCTGTGCCCGTGGCTTCCTCGATATTGTACCCCGGGCCCAGCGCTGCAACCCATCCCATCCCACCGCGAAGTCTACGAAATTGGCCTTGTGGGTCTGCACCGTGACCACCTTCGTGGACTCCATATAGACGCCTTAGTGGGTGCTGCTTTGGGCCCGCCCGGGCGGGTCGGGATGTTGAGCTTGATGTAGAAGTGGTACTGTTCCCACCCATTGTATCACCCCACAACACCGTAGACGGAGGCTTCTTGAAGTTCTCCTTCCTCCCGTTCATGTCAAGGCGCTGCTGTTCAAGTAGCTGTACCACTACCTGGGGGCCCTTCTTGCCATGTAGGCCCTGGATGCGCTGGCACAGCTCCTGCGCAGAGGGTATCGGCTTCTAAGCGAACTCTCATCTGGGCCGTCCCGCCAGTGTTCCCGGTGAAGGCCTGCTGGAAACCCTTCGTGACCATCTGGGTGAAGGCGTCTGCGTCCTGCCGGAGCGCGTGCTGGTCCTGGTATAGCGGAGGAGGACGGCCATCACTCCCCTGTTCGGCGTCCTGCTTTGCCCCCGCCTGGAAAGCATGGGGTTTAGCTTTGAGCTTGTCCGACGTGGCCCTGATGACATCCAAGAGCTTGCTCACGGCCGCTGCTGGCGATGGCGGCCGGGCATCGAACTCGTCCAGGGTGGTGTAGACGTTGGCCACCAGCTCATCGAGGAGGATCTGGTTCGGGTCCTGCTCGTCCTCTGCCGGCGGAGTCGGTGAGCACGGACGCTCTGGCGGCGAGGCCGCCCGCGGAGGGGCCGCCATGTTCTTCGGCTTGCACGCCGCGAACCCCACCTTGCTCTCCATCGACGGTTCTACCGGAGGGCCGTCCGACCCGGCTGCACTCGCCACTGGGCGCTTCCAAGGGGGGGGATCCGACGGCTGCTGCGGGCCCCAGACCCTCGGGCTCCAGCGCGACCTGCGCGGCGTAGGGCTCCTGCGCGGCCGCGACCGGCGTGAGCGGCTCCTTGAACCCCTGGGGGCCCGGTCACCTCGGCGAGGTCAGTACCGCTCACGCGGAATGGCGGACCTCGATCGCGAATCCCTGCGGCGCCCCATTGCGCCCCGGCGCGGCAGGGGCCCCGGCACGGAGGGGGGAAGGGAAAGAGGGGGGCGCCCGGCCATGGGGGACCCCTTGACTCCTCCTCAGGTCCTCCTCCTCCTCCTCCTCCTCCTCCTCCTCCTCCTCCTCTTTCCTCCCTCCTCCCTCCTCCCTCCTCCCTCCTCCCTCGTCCCTGCTCCCTGCTCCCTCCTCCCTCCTCCTCCTCCTCCTCCTCCTCCTCCTCCTCCTCCTCCTCCTCCTCCTCTTCCTCCTCCTCTTCCTCCTCCTCCTCCTCCTCCTCCTCCTTCTCCTCCTCCTTCTCCTCCTCTCACGGCGCCCCGCCACGAACGCGAGCCCCATGTCTTCCGTCGGGCCGACGGTCCTGCCACGGCTCCCACTGGCAAGGCTCGGGCTCGCACTGGGCGGCGCCGCTGGAACCACCAGGGCAACTCGGTGCGTGGGGGCCTCAGAGAACTGGCTCACTCTCTGGAGGAGGAGGCCGACGACGATGACGACGAGGCCGAGGGGCGAGAAACGGGGATGAGGAGCAACTGGAGATGCAGACGGAGGAGGAGGAGGGGGAGGAGGAGGAGGAGGAGCAGGAGCAGGAGCAGGAGGAGGAGGAGGAGGAGGGAGGAGGAGGAGGAGGAGGAGGAGGAGGGAGGAGGAGGAGGAGGAGGAGGAGGAGGAGGAGGAGGAGAAGGAGAAGGAGGAGGAACCCGGCTCGCCGCCAAGCTCGGGAGAATCGGCGAACGGTCACGATCTCCCGGGTCCTCGCGGGCCACGCCGCGCGGCGCCAAAGAAGGCCCGTGCGCACGGGGCCCTCAGCATCCGAGAGCTCGAGGCCCCCGCGTGGCTGGCGGGAGCTGGGGGCAACTCGGAGCCCTCGGGCGACCGATCCGTGCCAAGAGGGCGCGGCCAAGCGCCCGCCGCTGTTCGGGGGCCGCCGATCCCCGCCTCGGCGGGTCCGCGGCCGAGGCCGCGCCCGGGGTCGACGGATCGGAGCGGTCTGGGGTGGGGGCAGACGATGGACTGCACCTCCTCGCCGCTGCACCTCTCGTGTCCTCGGCGGGCGCTCCCTCCCTCCCTCCCTCCCCCCCCCCGCCTCGTCTTCTTCGTCCTCGCCGGCGAGGCATCATGTCAGACGAACACAGCTGCTCTCAAATCGCCACCGCCGCGACCATGGTAAGGAGGTTGCAGCTGTCGTGCTGCCAAGGGGACCACCGAGTGAGGAGCGCAGGCGCGTTCCTGGCCTCGGCGGGCCCCAGCCAGAGCCCAAAGCGGCCCTCACTTTGGCGTCTTGGCCGCGGTAGCGGCACCCACTGCACAGCTCAACGCACACCCAGGCATCGGGAAGCCGAAAGCGTCGTGCCCTCTCCTCCCCCCCAACTGTCGCCGCCTGGTGCCCCACCCGAGGCCCGCCGACTCGCGCCCGCCAGGGGCGCCTGGCGCCTGGGACTGCCACCGGTGCGCGCGCGGCAGTCCTTCGCAGGTGTTCACGCCCTCGCAGTCCATGTCGCAGGTGACCTATAGAGGCCTCCCGTACTGGAGCCTGAGCAGACGAGGTCGGAGGGCCGCGCCGCATCGCCGACGCGTCGCCTGTTGCATCGGCAATGCACTGGCGTGGAGCAGGTCGGGCTCCACATCGAGCCGCATCGCCGATGCGTCGGGGATGCGGTGCGACCCTCCCAGGCCCTCTGGCCGCCGCCTGCCCTCGGACTCCAGTTTGGGAGGCCCGGGTGGCCGCCCACGGGGCGTCGTCGTGCTGCTCCGCCGCCGCGGCCGCGCCGCACGCCAGGAGCACGGCGGCGGCGAGGGGCACTTGGCGGGGGCATCTCCCGAGGCGGGCGGGCGGGCGGGCGGCCATCGCCGCCGGGTTCCCTTTCGGGGCCCCCTGCGCCGGGCTGGGCGGAGCCTGATCGTCGGCGGGGCGACGGGAGATCGGGCTGCGCGGCAGTGTCAAGCGTGGCCTGAGGAGGTGTAGCCTCGCGGCGGCAGAAGCGTCAGGTGCCGCCTGGGCGGGGCTTTGCTGAGGAAGCGAGGTGGTCGTGCCCGTGCATTCTTGCTGGCGTGTGCCCCGTGCAATGAGTTCTTGCACTCTGGACGTGCCGCACACGCGGTGCACGCTGGGCGGCCCAATCTATCTTGTGCAAGCGGCGTGGTGCAAAATCAATGGTGCCATTTATGTGGTGGCACCCCATGTGATGCATGCAATGCGGTGAATGCTGTGGTGCGAGCTGTGGTGCAAGCAGTGTGGTTGAATCTATCGGGTGCGAGCTATGTCGCGTACTTATATTATGTGATGCAAGCTCTGCGGTGCACACTAATGTGGTGCTCGCGAAGTCATCCCACCCTCCGGCCCACAACTTGTTTTGCACAACCTATGCGGCCGCGATTTCGGTGACTATTTGGCGCTGGCTGGCGCATCTCTGCGGCTGCGCTAGCGCGCAATCTCCCGCGCAGAACAGCCAACTGGTTTGGCGTAAGCGGTGTGGTTGCGATGACGCTTACTGGTGGGAGCTTCCCACCGCGTCTCTGTCAAAGGCTGCGCTGGCGTGCGGGCGCTTCATTGCGGGTCGGTGACTCGGGCGGTTGCGGTATCATGATGACGTCGACAAAGGCCGCAAACGTGATGATGCTAGCGATGCTGACGCCGATGGCAATGATGACGACGGCAAGGCCAATGACGGCGTCGACGCTGGTGAATACGATGACGATGCTGTCGGTGATGAAGGTGGTTGACGGATGATGGCGGCAAGGGCGGCGATTGTCAATGACCATAATGGCGATGATGCGGCGGCGCTGAGGAGGGTGATGATGAGGAAGTGCATACGCGCGGAGTTGCCAAAAACTTGGCGTTCACTCCAAAACACATTTTTTTTTAATTATCCTGGCGAAGGGCCCAACCATATGTAATTGTGAATAACGCGTTGTGGGTGCCGCTTCCGGTGGGCCACGCAACGCGTGACGGGGCGTGCCGTAATGGATGGGTCGGACGCATGCGGGCACCCCCACTGGGGCCTTCGGTGGAGCTTCCTATGGGGCCGCGACGCGCTGTAGTGGGTTGTGGAGACGCATGCGGGCGGTGCCACTGGGGCCTTCGGTGACGAAGCGCTGTACTGGGTGGGGGGGCGCATACGGGCGGTTCCACTGGGACCTTCGCTGGAGCTCCCCGTGGGGTCACGAAACGCTGTACTGGGTGTGGCGGACGCATGCGGGCGGTCCACCTGGGGCCTCCGGTGGAGCCCCCCAAGGGGCCACGAAGCGCTCTACTGGTTGTGGCGGGCGCATGCGGGGGTCCCACTGGGACCTTCGGTGGAGCTCCCTATGGGGTCACGAAGCGCTGTATTGGGTCTGGCGGGCGCATAAGGGTACCCCCACTGGGGCCTTCGGGAGCTCCCTATGGGGACACGAAACGCTGTACTGGGTGCGGCGGACGCATGCGGGCACCCCCACTGGGGCCTTCGGTGGAGCTTCCTATGGGGCAACGAAGCGTTGTACTGAGTGTGGCGGACGCATGCGGACACCCTTACTGGGACCTTCGGTGGAGCTACCTATCAGGCCACGGAACGCTGTGCTGGGCGTGGCGGACGCATGTGGCCCCCCCACTGGGGCCGTAGGTGGAGCTCCCTATGGGGCCGCGAAGCGCTGTACTGGGCGTGGTGGGCGCATGTCATGGGGCCACGAAGCGCTGTATTGGGCGTGGCGGACGCATGTGGCCACCTCCACTGGGGCCTTAGGTGGAACGCCCTATAAGGCCACGAAACGTGTGAGGGGTGTGCCGACATGGGTGTGGCTGACGCATGCGGGCACCCCCCACTGGGGCCTTCGGTGGAGCTTCCTATGGGGCAACGAAAAGCTGTACTGGGTGTGGCGGACGCATGCGGGCACCCCCACTGGGGCCTTCGGTGGAGTTCCCAAAAAGGCCACAGAACGCTGTGCTGGGTGTGGCGGACGCATGCGGGCACCCCCACTGGGGCCTTCGGTGGAGCTCCCAATGAGGCCACGGAGCGCTGTGCTAGGCGTGGCGGACGCATGTGGCCACCCCCACCAGGGCCTTAGGTGGAGCTCCCTATGGGGCGACGAAGTGTTGTACTGGGTACCCCCACTGGGGCCTTCGGTGGAGCTCCCTATGGGGTCACGAAGCGCTGTATTGGGTCTGGCGGGCGCATAAGGGTACCCCCACTGGGACCTTCGGGAGCTCCCTATGGGGCCACGAAGCGCTGTACTGGGTGTGGCGGACGCATGCGGGCACCCCCACTGGGGCCTTAGGTGGAGCTCCCTATGGGGCGACGAAGTGTTGTACTGGGTGTGGCGGACTCATGTGGCCACCTCCACCAGGGCCTTGGGTGGAGTTCCCTATGGGGCCACGAAGCGCTGTACTGGGTGTGGCGGACGCATGTGGCCACCCCCACTGGGCTTTCGGTGGAATTTCGTACGGGGCCATGAAGCGCTGTACTGGTTGTGGCGGACACATGTGGCCACCCCCATTGGGGCCTGAGGTGGAGCTCCCTATAAGGCCACGAAGCGTGTGATGGGTGTGCCGACATGATGGGTGTGGCTGACGCGTGTGGACACCCCCACTGGGGCCTTAGGTGCAGTTCCCTATGGGGCCACGAAGCGCTGCACTGGGTGTGGCGGACGCATGCGGGCCCCCCCACTGGGGCCATAGGTGGAACTCCCCATGGGGCCACGAAGCGCTGCACCGGGTGTGGTGGACGCATGTGGCCACCCCCCACTGGGGCCGCGAAGCGCTGTACTGTGTGTGTGTGTGTGTGTGTGTGTGTGTGTGTGTGGCGGGCGCATGCGGGCACCCCCACTGGGGCCTTCGGTGGAGCTCCCTATGTGCCACGAAACGCCATACGGGTTGTGGCGGGCGCATGAGGGCACCCCCACTGATGACGGCGATGGCGATGACGATGACGATGACGATGACGATGGCGATGGCGATGACGATGACGATGATGATGATTATTATTATGATGGTGATGATGATGATGATGATGATGATGATGACGATGATGATGATTATGATGATGATGATGCTGATGATGATGATGATGATGATGATGGTGGGCGGAGGGAGGAGGGGGAGGAGGCAGGAGTGAGGAACGCGGGGCGCTGTTTCTTCAAAACGAAGACCCAACACCACAGGATGGTTGGGAACAAACAAATGTGGATGAAGATCTCCATCTTGAAGTGCTTCGAGAACCAACGGCCATGGACAAATTTCGACACGCGCGCATGGCGGCGCGCGCGTTTGGCACAGTTGGAGTTATTTGATACGGATTCGTGGACTGGGCGCATGCTGGACCAACGCAGCTGCACTACGTTGTGAGATGAGAATGCAGTTTCTGGACATAAGTGCTACTTTCGTAAGGTTTTCCTATGATCTCGGCAGGATTGCGCTGGCAGAGCATCTGCAACTTTTGCAACGCAGCGCCTATGGGTTTCGGGTGTTTGTGTATTGACATGCTTGCAGGACTCGTGTGTTTAGTGTGGTTCCGACATGCGCGCGCGTGTTGATATCGTGCCGTTTTTTTGTTGAACAGAGATCGATTAGCGAAACATGATCATTTGAGATAAATGAGTGTGCTCGCGCAGCATTATTTGGCATGGATTTAGGGGGCGATGTCGGTCTGGCTGGGAAGGTATCACTTCGATTGGAACAATGAGCGATGGGGCAGAATCGTATGCAATTTGCAGTGTCCCAGGTTCGGGGGAGTGGTTGACGCTACTTCTTTTGGGAAGAGAATGCATGTGGTGCAGACTAGGTCTAGATCGGGCGGGACCCCCGACAGGCGGATTTTTGACGAAACATTGAAAATACGAACAGATATTCACAAATAGTCCAATAATCTTTAACAATCGTCCCCAGACTATTTCTTTTTTGACTATTTTTGAATATTCCTCCTGTAGAGGGACGTGCCCGACATGAGGCCAGGTGGCTTCACCGAGGGTCTTCGCTTTGAATCCTCGACCTGAGCGAGGCGAGCGCGCCTCGGCGCGGGAAAACAACTAGCGCAGATCCTTCTCCACCGCCAAAAATTGGAGGCCTGGAAATGGGCACCAACACCAACACAGGGGATTGCCTCCACAGGAGGAAGATGATCCTAGACTTCGGTGTTGGTGGTAATACCTCGATCACCCTGGAGGCCAGAAGATTGCCACCATCACCGAGATCAGGATCTTCTTCCCTCGATGGAGGCACGCCGCCAAGACTGGTGTTGGTGTCAATCTCTAAGCCTGCGAAAACAATCTCCCCCAGCGCACGCTCACCCACTTACCGAAGGGGCCCTGGGACACACAAATAAATACACACAAATCAACATTTCCCCTATATTTTCATGTATGTTCTGGGTTTTTGTCTTCCCCCCCACTTCCCATATTTTCCCATATTTTCCTGGGAATCGACGATTGATTGTGTCTGTGTGTTTCTTTCCCTCCTGACTTACTCACTCATGGCGGTCGACCGCTGCCCTGCAGCCACCCGCCGTGGCCCTCCGCCTCGGCTGCGGGCCCGAGGTGGAGGGGGGGGGGGTCACTAGCACAGTCGGGGCGTGGACCTAAGGAACCCTAAATAAGGCCTCCTCCGCCTCCTCCTCCTCCTCCTCCTCCTCCTCCTCCTCCTCCTCCTCCTCCTCCTCTTGGTCCTCCTCCTTCTCCTCCTCCTCCTCCGCTTCCTCCCCCCACTCCTAGCCCTTTCGATCAGGGTCGGCGGCACCGGCCGTCAGGCCTCTCCAATAAGGAACGAGGCCCCTATGCCCATAAATTAAACTTCGCCTTCCCCTCGAAAACGTAAGGAAAACCCGAGGCATTCTGCGAAACACTTAAGGAGCACGGGGCCCCTCCCCAACGAAAAGGGCTCCTTCTTCCGGGCCCCGACTGTAACGCATGCTCCTCCTCCACCCCTCACCGAGGGCGGGGACTCCTGCGAAAAGCTCTGGCCCAAGCTCCCTGCGGGAGCGACGCGCAGGGGGGCGTCGAATCTCTCCAGGCGATCGAGGGCGGCAGTTCCCCTCCCGAGAAACACGCCCCTGGCCGATGCTTCGGAGAGGTCCTGCCGAACAACGCCCCTGGCCGATATCTCTGCTTGAAACTGCGACCGGGTGCTGCGAGAGTATCAGCATACGAATGAAATCATCGCAGACCAATTGCGTTCTAAACCTTCTCCAATATTCTCCTGTCGCTCCATCATGCTCCTTCTCCTGGGGTGCCCTCACCGCTGGTCTTTGCTTGAAGCTGCGGCCTGGGTGATGCGAGCAGGGACAAGCATGCGAACGACATCGGCGCAGAAAAGATGTGTCCCAGATTTTCCCCCTGGGACAGAAGGGGGGTCACCCTCTCCCCTGCTCTCACGAATACACGTCGTTCATTTCCAATCGTGCTCATTTCTGATTGTGCTCGTCTCCGATTGTTCCTGGCCCCCTAAGTGGCCAGGAAGAGGCCCAGGATAGCACAAGTAGAAATGAAAGGACCTCGGCCCCCCCAAAACAATCCAAGAACTCTCGAATACTCAGAAGTGAGCATATGTGTACGATCGCTTTCCCCATGTTCGCTTGCTGTTGGACTGCTTTCCCCGTGCTCACCTGCTTTTGTCGTGCCTGCGGCGGCAGAGCCGGCGTCGCTGGGCGCGCGCTCCGCCGCGCGCCCGGCAGGCACGCCGAGAGGCGCGCCGGAGCCCTCCGAAAATCACAGGGCAGAGCGACGTGGACAGCCAGGCGCCTCCCCGCGCCGAGGCGCCTGCAGACCGCAGGCGCCCTCCTGCGCCCAGGCCTGTGCAGTCGGGGGCTTGACCTAAGGAACCCCAAATAAGGAACGAGGCCCCCGTTTTCCATGAGTTAAACTTGGATTTCCGATCGACAACATAAGGAAAACCTGAGGCAAGCTGCGAAACACTTCAGAACGCGGAGCCCCTCCCCAACGAAAAGGGTTCCTTCTTCAGGTCCCACTGAACCCAGCTCGCCACCGCGGATCGGGCGGTGGCAGAGCTGGGTTCAGTGGGACCTGGTTTAGCGAAGCGTGCTGGGGGAAGCCCCCCGCCCCGCCCCGTTCCACTAACTGGAGCTGCTGTCACACGAAAAAACACCAGCTACGGCAGACCTGGCTGAGTGATTCTGGCCAATTTAAGGGCTCTGGGGCCCTACTACTAACCGGGTCCCCTTACCTGGGGCCCTGGCTATACCCGAGCGGAGGCGGAGCGGCCTGCGGGAGTCGGGGGCGCGCAAGCATGGATTGGCGATCCGTGGATTTGGCGCGCGGTCGCCAAATCCACGGGTCGGGGGAGGTGCCCTCCCCAAAATGCGGCCGGCGCCGCCTCGTTCGGCGGCGGGCACCCGCGATTTCCCATGGAAGCGGGACCCGTCGCTGATCCACGCCCCCATTGATCCATGTTTGCGATCGCCTGAGGGGGGCCCGGCCCAGGCCAGACCGCCGCACCAAGAGGCGGCCCAGGTTGACATCTCGCCGAGCGCTCAGCAGCGCCGGTCTGCCCTCGCAGCGGCCCCAGGGAGCCCCCCCCGCCCAGCGAGCGGGCGGCTGCGGGGCCGTCGCCCGAGAAGCGGCCCGCCGCACCACGCCGCCAGCAAGGGCGGTGCTCGAGCCAACTGCTCCCCCGTACAGAGCCTGTGATACTCCTGTGCCCCCGTCCCCGTGTCTCTTCCTGCTCCACCTCCACTCGCGCCTTCCCTCTTGCCAGGCGGTGTCTTCTTCTTGCTCGCCGCAGTCGGGACGGTGGCAGCTCACGTGAGCAGTGCCGTGCGTGCTGCTCCAGGCTCCCACAGCGCGCTGCGCGCGTGGTATACATTGTGCCGTGATGGCATCCACCGCGTCCTGCGCAGCGGGGCCACGGGCAAAACTCCAGCTGCTATGATGGCCGCGATAAACGCAGCGCAACCTCCGTGGGCGGGTGGTGGCCACCGCGAGCCCTCTGCAGCCTTTCCGGGGCGGACGTTTGGGAGCACCGACCAACAGCAGGGCCGAAACGAGCGCCCCGCTTTGCCGCGCAGCGCTCGGCGGCCTGCTGGGGCGACCACTGCGCCCTGCGCAGAGGCATCGCGCCAACGCGCCAGCCGTCGGGCCGCCGCGGTCCTCCGTGTGGCGGATGGCCGGCCAGAGGCCCTGCGCGAGGAGCGCTGGGCCCGAGTCACGGCATCGCCTCTCGAGCCTCGCCCATCGTGCGCCGGCGGCCACGGCGGGCCACGTGCCACTGCAGGCGAGCTGCGACCACGAGGAGGGCCGAGTGGTGAGCGAGAAGCTCCTCTGTGGCTGCCGGAGCGCCCGGGTGCACGAGGAGCGCTGCGGAAGCAACTGTGGGAGGGCCCCAGGAACAGCGAGCCTCTTCCGAACCCGAGCTGCTCTTGCTGTCAGCGGCTTGGCCGTGGCCGCCGAGCCGGGCCCGAACCGACTCTTGGGCCTCGCCCCTCACGCGAGGGCCGTGAGCGGGGCAACGGGTCACGAGCGACGAACCACCAGATCGGCTCTGCAAGGGCCGCTGCTCGTCGCTTCCGGTCGTGCAAAGGGTGCGACGTGCCACGGGGCCCACGGGCCCCGGACCACCGACTCCGCCCTCGGGCCTCCGCCCCCCGCTCGTGAAGCAGATCGCGAGGGACCCTGCAGCGGACACCCGCTGAGTCAGGAGGCGCGCGAGGGCCGCAGGGTGCACGAGGCTGCGGGCCGCCCGCTCTTGTCTCGATCGTCGTGTATGCAGGAGTTGCACGAGGCATGGGGCCACGTGGAACGCGAGCCACCAGGGGCCCCGCGGGCCAGCGGGTCGGCCTGTGAGCCCAGCCCACCATGCGGCGGCCACGATTGCGGTGCAGCGCTGCGTGGCGAGCCGCCGTGCGGCACGCTGTGCGCGGCTGGGCGTGGCACGTCGGAGTACGCCACGATCCATCGAATGTGTTGAGCTCCACCCCTCTCAGCGGAGTGGTTCTGAAGCATCATGCAACTTCCGCTGCTCAGGTATTATTTGAGCAGAGGCAGATCGCCTCTGTCTGCTTGTAGGGCTGCCACGACGTGCTAATACGACAGAGGACGTTCTGATGACAACATCGGCTTTATCTGACCCCCCTGCCTTAAGTCAACACAATATCAACCATAGCTTACATGGCATGTGGTTACATGCCACCACAACACGTGATGTGCCATTTCTTGAATTAGCTGTTTACGAAGAACGCCACGCGGATCAAGGCACATCGGAGGACCGACACCTCTGAGCAACAAACGGCTACGAACAAGAAAGCACGCACAGCACGCCGCCTTTTGCATAACCCGCGATCATGCTCCAGCACGGCTCGGCCATGCGCGACTGCGCGAACCTCGGCGCCTTGTCCACACGCCAGCGACCAAAGCTGTTGCTGTGGAGGCCTCCCGCATGCGGCGCAGCGGCAGTTTTGGGCGCCGAGGCATCGGCGACTAATCAGTTGGGGTCGGAGGACCGCGCCGCATCGCCGATGCACCAACGATGCATCGGCGGCGTCCCGAAAAAGAAAACCGGGCTCCGGATGGATCGCCGCATCGCCGATGCCTCGGCGATGGATGCCTCGGCGATGCGGCGCGGTCCCCCGCACGGAGGGGGAGCGTCCAGGGGGGCACCCCGGCGTAAGGGGGGGGGGGAGCCTCCGAGCCCGAATCGACGAGGCATCGCCGAGGGATCGGCGGTGGGCCCCCGATTCCGAAAGCGCAGTCTCCTGGGCGTGGAGGAGGAGGAGGAGGAGGAGGAGGAGGAGGAGGAGGAGGAGGAGGGGGGGGGAAAGGAGGGGGGGGAGGAGGAGGAGGAGGAGGAGGAGGAGGAGGAGGAGGAGGAGGAGGAGGAGGAGGAGGAGGAGGAGGAGCAGGAGGAGTGGGCGAGAGAGGGGGTCGAGGCATAGCCCTCCCCGAGCCCCTGCCCCGCCGCGAACGATGCCCTCCCATCGCTTCTGGGCCGCGGCCCGGCTCCACGGCGGCCGCTCGGGGCGAGGCTGGCACCCCTGGAACGTTCTCGATGCGGCGCGGCCGATGGAAACCACACCCGCAGGGTCTCGAAGACGTCCGGAAACGTCAGGAAAACCTTTGAAAACTCCCGACGCGCTCGACCTCCGTCTTCGCGTGGGGGATCGACTACAGAATCGATTCACCCCAACATCGGTTTCCTCGCCGAACCTACAACAAAAACACGTAACGGGTTCGTGCATCTACGAGCCTGCTACGCATTTTTCGTGGAGTCCACGGAACACGAAACCCCACCAGCCCTCTGGGCGTCGGTGGTTTAGAGAGTTTCCTCTTCCACCCCTCCTTCTCCCCTTCGGGGAGGGGTTTACCCCTCCCCCTACCCCCTCCCCATGGACCTGGACAAGGGGTTCCGCGAGGTGTCGGAGCGTCCAAAACGGCCTCGGCGAGGAAGCAACAATCATTGGTTTTACTAGGGCGTAATTAAGGACCCCCCCTTCGTTGGCCGATATCATCCAAGATGGTCCCAAGAGAGCCCCTAAAGCTTCCAAAAACGCCCCGACAAGGCCCCCAAAGGAGCCCAGACGGGCCCAAGAGGCGCCCAGGAGACCCCAAGAGGCCCCAGGATGGCCCCAAGATAGCCTCAAAATGGCCCCAGGGGCTCCGAGAGGCATTGAAGAAACCTCCAAGAGACCCGAAGAGGCTTCACGAGGATCCCCGAAGCCCCCAAGATCCCCCCCTGACGATCCAAGAGGTTTCCAAAACAACCCCCAAGAGACATCCTAAGAGGATCACATGTCCGCCCTGTTTCCTCCTTCTCCTTGTCCTTCTCCTCCTCCTCCTCCTCCTCCTCCTCCTCCTCCTCCTCCTCCCCCTTTATCCGTCTACTCATCATCCGAGAACCAGCACCATCAGCAACAACAGCAGCAGCACTAGCAACAGCAACAGCAGCAGCAGTACCAGCAGGAGCAAGAGCACACCAGCAATAACACTTGCAACCTTCGCCACAAAAGATCTCCCAATTCACCGTTGTTGCCCGCTCCGGTTCACTATGTGAGAGTCTCTTCTTCCCTTCTCCCGTCAGCTTTCCTGGGCATCGTTTCTGGATGGGCTGGTGGGGATACTTTTTTGGTCGCGGCCGCAAGCGAAAAGCGCAGGCGGCGAACAGGGTGTCCGGGCCGACGGGCAAACCTAATTAGCTGCAGGGCGCAGCGCGAGCCGGCCGGGCTAGCCCTCAGAGGCAGCAGCTGGGGCAGCGGCGGCGGGGGGCTGGCTGGCTGAGCTGCAACGCCCAGGGAAGCTCGAGCATCGTGCAGACCTGTGGCAAAATGCCAAAGAATTCTGTGTTTTGCGCCGCGGCGCCAATCCACCACGGTGACGGGGCTTCTCGAGGCAGGCAGAGAGTGGCCCTGGTGGGGATACTTTTTCGGTCGCGGCCGGGCCAACGGGCAAGCCTAATTAGCTACAGGAGGCGTACTAGCCGGCCGGCCCACTCACAAAGCAGCCGCGAAGCTGAGGGGGGTCTGACGGCGGGGGGCATCCTGGGAGGCTCGAGCACATGCACAGGGCAAAATGTCGAGGAATTCGATGCCTGCCATGAGGCACGGCCCACACAGTGACAAGACGTGTACCTGAGCAACCGAGTCCGTCGTTCTGAGTGGGGGCAGGTACGAGGCCCGTGGAGCGAGTCGCCGGTGGGGCGCCAGGCTCCAAACGCCCTGGACGACGTGTGCTAGCCAGGGGGGCTGAGCTGTCGCGGAACGTGGTGCAACGCAACCTGCTGATAGCTGATGGTGAGCCTGGGGTGCTGCAGCTGCTGCGGAAGGCTGAACCACTCCGTGGCGATATCAACACCCGCTAGTCCACCCAACAGTGCAGGGGGGAAGCCGAACGACTGCGAGCCACGCAATGCGTAGCGGCACGGCGCCGAGCCCAGGGTGAGGAAAGAAAGCCAGCCGGCGTGATGAGCATCGCCAGCGAGGTAGAGGAATATGGGGGGGTGCTGCACTGGTGGTGGTGCTGCCGCTTGAAGTACGCCAAACTGAACCAGGGACAAGCATATCCTCAAGTATACAGAGCTGGCTGTACCTCCTGGGGCACGTGTGGCGCATGTACAAGCAAGTGTGTAACGTTGCCATTGGGTGAGGCGACCTGGGGGAAGCTGCGCTGCAGCAGACACGAGAGCCGACGTTCGCCATGGCCCGACCCGGCCCGCAGCTTTCGCACTTCCTCGCAAGACTCGGGGTCGTCCACCAGCACGCACCACGTGGGCCCCCAGGGTCGCAGCTAACCGCCGCTGAAAGTGGGGAGCCTTGCCACGGACAGCGAGGGACAAGGGCGGCCCTGGGGAGGGGGGACAACACCACCGGCGTCTGTCGGTACGCCTGGCGAGCCCCGGGGCCAAGGGCGGGGGACACCCGCCTGGCCCGAGAGGGGAGAGGCGAGGGGAAGCAACGCCCCGTCCCTTGACCAGGCCCCGGACCCGTGGGTCAGGGGACATGGCCATACTCTTGGGTCCTCCAGGGTCGCAGCTAACCGCCGCTCAAGAGCAAATCGTATCGATTGATAGAGTCCTCCAGGGTCGCAGCTAACCGCCGCTGAAATGCAAATAGTAACGAGTGATAGGTCCTTCGCCTGGTGTTGGTGCAGTTGGATCGTGTGGTCCAGAGTGGACATCCTGCCACGCTGAATGCTGGTCTGCCAACGCGGAGACTGGCACCTCTGTGGGGGCGGTGGGCGTTGGTTCCTCCAGGGTCGCAGCTAACCGCCGCTGATGTTCGTGTTGGTTCCTCCAGGGTCGCAGCTAACCGCCGCTGATGTACGGGCGCCTGAGGTGTGACAAAACTGAGACCTAGCTAGGTCGAGCTCGCGGTCAGGCAGGCGGGCGGGGGGATGCGGCAGCATCCCCCCTCCTGCCTGGCCGCGGGCTTTGCTTGTCTCAGTCCTCTATGTAAGAGCAATGCGCGAGGCCACTTCCCGCCTCCGCCACGCGCGCTGACCCAGCGCTGTAGCTGATGACGTCTGGCTCCAACTTTGCCCCTCGCATCTCGCTGAGGAGCAACAGAGCCTGCGCCCACTGCCCAACTTTCCCACACGCGCTGATCTCGGCATTGTAGCTGATAGCTCCTGGCTGCAGCGTCGCCTTCCACATCTCGCTGCGCAGCGACAGAGCCCGCTGCCACTGTTCGCCTCTCCCACATGCGCTTATCGCAGCGTTGTAGCTCGCGGCATCGGGCTCCCCCGTCGCGTCCCATATCTCTCTAAGCAGCGACAAAGCCCGTTGCCACTGCCCGCCTTTCTCGTACGCGCTGACCCCGGCGTTGTAGCTGATTGTGTTGGTCTCCAACTTCGCGTTTGAAACCCCGCGAAGCAACCATAGAGCCTGGGACCACTGAGCGGCTTTCTCGCACGTGCTAATGCCAGCGTTGTAACTGATGACGTCTGGCTCAAATTTCGCCTCACGAAGCCACTGGCCGCCTATCTCGCACGCGCTGATCGCAACGTTATAACCGATGACGTCTGGCTCCAACTTCGAGCCACAAATCTCGCCAAGCCGGGGCAGCGCCTGCTGCCATTGTCCGCCTTTCACGCACACTCTGATCCCACTGCTGTAACTGATCACGTTGGGCTCCAATGCCGCCTGACACATTTTGCTGAGCAGCGACAGGGCCTGCCGCCAGTGTCAACCCTTCTCGCAAGCGCTGACCCCAGCGTTGCAACTGATGACGGTGGGCTCCAATTTAGCCTCCCACATACCGGCGAGTAGCGACAGTGCTTGCTGCCAGTCCCCGTTTTCCTGACACGCGTTGATTCCAGCGTTGTAGCAGACAGCGTTGCGCGCCACCTCCACTTCTGACATCCCACTGAGCAGCGACTGTGCGAGTTGCCATTGCTCACCCCTGGCGCACGCGCTGATCCCAGCGCTGTACCTCACAACGTCCAGCTCGCACCTCAAGGCTTTTGGCCATTGTCCGCCTTTCTCGCACGCGCTGATTCCAGCGTTGTAGCTGATGACGTTGGGCTCCACCTTTGTCTGCCGCATCTCGCTTAGCAGCGACAGCGCCTGAAACCATTGCCCACTTTTCTCGCAAGCGCTGCTCCCAGCGCTGTAGCTGATGACGTCTGGTTCTAATGCTATATGCCATATGTCGCGGAGCAGCGACAGTGCCAATTGCCACTGCTCGCCTTTCTCGCAGGCGCTGATCCCAAGGGGTGTGTGTGGTGGTGCATCCAGGGTCGCAGCTAACCGCCGCTGAATGTCAAGAGGAGGTCTCGTGCCCTTAGTCTCAGCTGCTCCCCGCGTGGATCCAGGGTCGCCGCAAACCGCCGCTCTGGGTTGAGTGAAGGGGGGCACCCGCGGAGGGTGGCGGCAGACGGCCCTTGTCAGACAGCACCGGATGCAAGAGTGCCCTGAGCCCCCGTGGGAGAC